TGAAAACGATAGACGTGTTCCCATAAAACGTTCATTGCCAGGACCGTATTCATATATTTCGACATAACACAGCACAGGGTTTGTTAATGGCGATAGAGATATGACAGATGAAAACAACGAGAACTATAAATGCGGTTAGTATCCATTCATAGGTTAATAATATTTATGAAATAATAAAGATTTTTAGAGGTTCGAATGATGAGTTTACAGATTCGGAGACCCTTTTTACTGCAATTCAATCTTATTTTTTACCTTAGTCGCCAGAACCACAGATTTGCACTTTGATTCGTAGTGGTTGATACATGTAGCTATTGCCGGATTAATCACAAAAAAAAAACAAAAGCGGGCCCCGCGTATCCAAGCATTCCATCATCGCCTAAGCATATTTTTTAAGTAAAACTTATTAACTCTTCAGCCCCCAAGCGGTCTCATGAGACCGCGGCCATATTCCGTCAAATCCCTAGCGGTCTCATGAGGTCTCACCCACCTACAGCACTTTAACCCATAAAAACTTACTTATAGGGACTACTTTTCTATGAAGAAGTTTATTTATTTATTTTATTCTTTATTGCATCCTTAAACAAAAGAATACAAAGGGCGGACTTAATGCCTTGAGGCATTCTCTACCAGTCAACCCATTTTGTAATGACCTAAAACCTGACTATTATATAGAAAATTTTGTATAGATTTTATAATTCCAAACATTTTTATAGAAAAGTAGTCTCCAAATATAAGTTTTAATGGTTTTAGGTGCTACGAGTGGGTGCCGTCGCATGCGACCGCTCGGGATTTGCTGGGCGCATATTATATATAATTAGTATAGTATGGGTGCAGCACGAATGGAGCGGGGCAGGATCACGATATTAAAAAATATCAGCGTAAAATCAGTAAAATCAGTCAGTGCTGTTGTGTTTCGGAACCGGAGACTCCTTTTGCTATAAATGAGGCTTTTCATTTTAGTTCAACAACAACACTGGCGAGGCGACAACGCATCTGCATTTTGATTCCTAATCGAGGATATATGTAAATGTATATGGGCCACAGCATTCACTTACCAACAGGTGGACTGTGAGCTCGTTTGATAACCTTATTCTATAAAAAAAGTAATAATAAAATAAGTTTCAATATGTAATTTTAATAATTAATTGGTTATGGTTGTATGTGTTGTAGTTTTACCTTTAATGCACCTCTATGTTACTGTTACAACCTATTAAAGTTTACTACTGAACGTAGGTCTCCCCCATAGATTAACACATAGCGGTACATTTGCCACAGCTGCCACGCTTAGCAAGCGGGTTGGCAATCGCCGTTTATTTTTTTTTATTTTTGGCCGCTATTAGGAAGACGCTGCTGCTTATCTCCTGATTTATTTCCCACTGTCGCCTTATGATACGCATGATATTATGGAATGGCAGCTCTATTAGAAAAAAAAATGGTTGACACTACAGGCCATCCCTGGAAATTCCCGCTAATTTCAAATGCAAAGCGCTCCAAATGTCATCAAATTATGACGTTCTACAAATAATGTAAGTAGCACAAACTTGTTCGGTTGGGAAATCTCGAAGTTATGTTAAAAAAAAAAACGTTTTTTTTCTTCAAATTCTTTCTCCTTCGATATCTAGAGAACGAAACAACCGAATTTTATTTTCCAAACGGAATTCGACGTCGTTTTGTGGGGCTAAGAGCTGACTAGTTTTTGAAATCAATCGAGAAAGTCGTTTCAAAGTTATTAAAAAAAAAAAACAGTTTTTCAACATTTTTATTTTTGAGATTTTTCAAAATCTACTCGTCCGAATGAGTTCATTTTATCACCAAATCTATTTTATATTGAGACCTTTAGAACACCGCAAACCATATCTCAATCGATCAAGACATTCAAAAGTTATGAAAGGCATACTTACACACACACACATACATACATACATCCGTATTCCGTACGGACGTCCACGTTTTATTAAGTCCAAATTAGTCAGAATAGCTTCCTGGGATCTCAAAACATCGAAATATGATGAAAATTCGCTTTTCGAAAATCGAGGTGAAACCAATAACTTCCCTATTTTTGAAAATTTAAAATTTTCAAAATTCTTTAATTTACATGCTGTATATAGTCGAATATTTCCTTCTGGAATCCATTCTTATTATTTTCAACCATTTTATCGAACATCAATATTTTGTGAAAATCTTGCACAGTATACAATTTGGCACACTGTATGCTCGTTTGTGAAGCTATGTCTACTTAAAATATTTTTTATACGATTAGAAGAAAATTCAGCTACGGAACCTTCAAAATAAAAATAAAACACTAGTTGAATAAGACTGCATACAAGGCGTACTTAAGCTGTTATGTACATTTCTATACGATATTAAATTATTTTATTAGTTACAATCAGCAGAATTTCACGTATTTGTAAATATTTTGAATTCAATTGCTTTGCATTTAGATGATTATTTATTGTATAATATGTGATAATTTTTCCTATCCATTTAAGTACAAATTGTTTGTATCTGCTCTTAAACACAGCATTTACACAGCTAAACATTTCAATCGTACCTCAGGTTAAATGTATTAATGTGAGATAGCTTTCTGAGGTGAGTTATGTTTACGTACGTTATAATTAATTACGTATATTAAACATAAATTTTCTCCTTGAAACCTAAAATTTTGCAAATACTAGCGGAATTTGTTTTTTTCACGAATGACAGCCCGATATAACATGATAGCGTGTACGTGAATGGTGTAGCCTATCTTTCTGGATCTAACATACGCGTACACTATGCTATTTCTCGTTTGCATAAACAATATATTCGAACGTTATTTTATAGTAAATCTATGGTTTAGATTGCGTTTTCTTAGAATGAGTAACAGAAAATTTCTCGTATAACGCACGGTAACGGTTTGCCAATCATTGAGATGATGTGGATGAAATTAAGAGTTCTGAAGCAATTCATAAAATATAATATCTCGAGCTTATGTGAAGTCTGTGAACACGCAACTTGGAGCAGTGCGTTGCATATTTTTTCATTAAAGACTTTCATAAATGAGAGGCCTATTCCCAGAAATAGGATATATACAAAAGCTGTAACTTTAAATAATTATTATATTCTATTTTATTTCATGACAATAGAAAAATTGGCTGCCAGCTCTTTCAGTCGCTATACGGATGGATAGCTGTGGAGATAGACGGAAGAATAGCTGTGGATATATTACGGCAAATGGCAAACTAGTGGGTAATAATAATAATTGCTACTATCTTCAAAACATTTATTCTATTAAAATGTATAAATAAGTATGTCGGTTGTGTATTCAACAATTCTTGATATTAAAACAAATCGCTTAAAATACTAATACGTTTTTAAATGCTGATGGGTATGTCATCAATTACACTTAATACTTAAAAATCCAATTATATCAATACAAATTAAAGCCAGATTACGATTTTCTACTTTTTCTTTCTTTGGTTTAACAATGTAATGTAATTTGAGTACATTTTACATACATGTCTAGTATTGAGACTAGTCAACTAAGCATATGCATATGAAATCTAGTGGTAAAACGTTGCTTTTATTTTATTTTATTTACGATAAGTACATAATATTAGTTACATTTTTTTCTAAAACACTGGTTCTAACAAATAAAATCAGACTTGTTCGATGGATAACTTTTAATGGCACACAAGTTAACTATGAACAAAGTACAACAATTAATGTTGACGCCATGTTGCCGCACATAAAATAATGTATTTATAAATAAAAACTTTGTTCTTTTGCTAACTTTTTTTTAACATAACTTTTGATTAAAAATTCATGAGCATAAAAAATTTAAGTAATTGTCAATTTACGCAATTACGCAATATACCATATTAGCGTGAGTAAAATAAGGCTTTGTGAAAATGTAATTGTAATCAGACTTAATTTTAAATATTTCGTTATTCTTATTAAATAAATACCTACATACTTTATGTAATATCCATTAAAAAAGTAAAAAAGTAGTCGACTTTAAAACAACCAAAATTTTACAGACTTCATCGCGTATATTACTGTAGATACTTACTTATCGCGTCATATACATTATAAAATTCGTAAAATTTAATTTCATTTAAATGTGTTCGCGTAAATATAAGAACTCATTATAAAGTTGACTTGATAACTATTTTTATAGCCGGTTAAAAGTAAGACTCCTTGTCATGATCCTGGCATTGTTCCATTCTGACATTAACATAACAGAGATCGTTGCATAGTTTGTCATAGAAACACATAGATCATTCTTTAACAAGTAAGTATATAGTTTATTTATTTTAAATTGAATACATCTGTATAATTTTGTTATCTTACGCGTCCTTAAAAAGTCCAAATATTTTATGAAACCTCAGTTTTTCTCGGATATAATATATATTTATTACTTTTACTTTATAACTTTCGACGTTTTAAGTTATTAAATTGGGTTGCGAAAATGCGAAACACAAGTTATTATGTTATTTGATTATTAATTTTTTTTTATAATAAATCTTAAAATTAGGCAGTTTTATTTATAATACCCCATTTAAGTCTTAAATTATTCTTCGCAACTAATGCAATATTTACAGTATCAAATTAAATTCTTGAAATAGTTCTTTTCTACGTAGATTTATCACAAGAAGATCATTCGATTACAAAAACATTTATTTGATTTATCAATTTAAATTATTATCATAATCATAATTGCATCTTAACGGCTACGTTACGTAAATTAAAAATAAAATAGCAGTACTGAATAAGGTGAAAATCTTATATGGAATAGTTACTTGTCTACTTTACAATATATTTTGCTTTAAGGCCGAGTACTTCATAAAATTAAGTATAATAGGAATCTCGCGTGAAAGAAGCTTAGAAACTCAAGTAATCTCTTTGAAAACATTACAGTAACAGCTGGTATATAATATATTAAAAAATCTGTAATAGTGTTTCCTATTACATAATCAGTACGTTCTAAATATCTACAAGACAAAATTACATTAATAAATTTAAATTTCTCTATAAGGTTGAGCAAAAATTTCGTTTAATAATTGTTGATACTCTTCTGCATTGTACAGATAGTCTTCATCGTCTAATAGGCTCGTATTGTTGTATCTGAAAATATGAGAAACAAAATTAAATTTTGTGCACATGATCCAATTTATGTATTATGATATTTGTTACGATTACTTTATTAAAACTTATAGTATTTTAGATGTGATACTTTGATGATGATGTACCCAATCATTAACCATCATTGCAATGCACTACAAGCCTACTTATGAACATAGCTTTCCCCCACGAATTTCCTATTAGCGGCCTACACCACTTAAAATAAAAGAACTAGATAACAAATACAAATCTAAGGGCAAAAATTAAATCTTCTGGTGTAAATCTGTCACAATAGTGGATTTCGTGCTACTTACACAGCAAAAATAGGTATATAAATGGGTGGAATCAACCCGGACGCACTTTTATACAAAAAAGACGCAGGCTATCGTTAAGTTTGTTTGCAATAATTCAATTTTACCTCATAATGTCTCTTTTTCTTCGGTTACCAGTGTGTGATGTAGCTTCAATGCATAAAACTGCAAAATGGTTGTTGCAAGTATATCTGTAAAACAACATTATATATATATATATATATATATATATATATATATATATATATATATATATATATATATATATATATATATATATATTAATAGTTTCTGTACTATTAGTACAAATAAACATGTCAACTTAAAGTTAGTTTTGATTATCGCGCTATATCAAGATTGCACTAAAGTTAAAAACCTGTCTATTACTTACCTTTCCTGCGACAACAGCTTATGCGAATAAAGAGAAGACGCCATGCCACGTGACGTAGGGTCACTGCTCTGCCATTCCTCACAAAATGTATCCACAGCGCGTTCTCCACTGGCGCGCGATCCATGCCATATTAATTTTTGTGGCCTGAGGAAAAAGTTATGAAAAATGAAAGTTAAATCTCTTGTTGTTATTTTATGACTAGATATTTTTATTGACATAATCTATATAAAGAAAAATCGATTGCTGTTCGTTAGTCTCGCTAAAACTCAAGAATAGCTGAACCTATTTGGCTAATTTTGGTGTTCAAGACCAAAATTAGCCAAATCGGTTCATCATATTTGTCAAATTTCAGGAAAGATTTAAATGACGAGAAAAATAAATAAAAAGAAACAGAAAATACTAAAAACGACAATTTAGTTTTCGATACAAAATATTGCTAGCTGTGAAATGAGGTCGGACCTCTTTGGTCTGTTCCTAGCTGTAAAGCGAAACCCGATCTTTTTGGTCTATTTTGTTTCAGAAATAAAAAAGTGTCAGTTAGTGGTAAAACAATTTCAAGACGATTAATACAATCTACCATCAGTTTGTCAGTGCGCGAGAACTTTTTATATTGTTATTGTTTTAAAATGCCAAGGAGAAGACGACCTGATTTGAATTATTAAAGTCAGTCAAATGTGCGACGAGCTAATTCACGTTCAAACCGCTCTGACGTCCAGTGAGATACAGATAATAATAACGTTAGTTTTGGTAATATTGGTATTGCAGAATTGTGTTCTAGAGTGAATAATAATAGATAGGCTTAGAATGAAACGAACTCAGGCACACCAAGCACAAAAACAGCGAGCATGACACAATAAAATAGAGCGATCGTTTCTTTATCAGAAAAAACCATAATATTTGACATTAATTTGACAACCAACTAATATGTCGATCCATTCCCTATGTCGATCAATACCTCAGACAAAGAGTGCATGTATCCTTCTATCTTTGTGAGTGACAATTACCGCTACGTGCGCGAGAACTTCCTTTACTTCGGTGATTTTTTGTGATAGTGACGTTTTAAGTTATGTGTTGCTTTGTTTGTTGATCTTTTGTGATAGTGATACTTTACTGCTAAGTGTACGAGAACTTTTCTCACTTTGGTTAATTACAATTTACGATGCCGATTAGAAGATGACCTCACTTAGGTCGTCGCAGTCAATCATATGTGCGAAGAGCTACCTCACGTGCTAGCCGCACTGATGACCAGAGGGAGAGACAGATCAAGAAAATAGTTGTATTGCTTTCTTACAATTGCGTTCTTTAGTGAGAGACAATGAAGTAGATAGGCTTAGAATGCAACGAGTTCGTGCACATCAAACACAAAAACAGCGAGCACGACATAATGCAATTAAGCGATTCCGTAGACGCAGTGCTCCTGTAATTCTGGAACGAGCTGCATTCCACTACGATCCGGCAATAGATTATTGTGCCGAAAAACAGGAACTATTAGGGAAATGTTAATCATTCATTTGTAAGACGTTAAAATACAGAGATGAATCTACTGGATTATGTTGTGCTGGAGGCAAAGTAAAATTGCCACAATTGGTCCCACCACCACATCCTTTACACTCTTTTGTTTTTGGGATTGGAAATGATTCAAAGCACTTCTTAGCCAACATTCAGAAATATAATAGCCGTTTCCAAATGATATCGTTTGGCGCTACACATATTATACAGGACAATTTCATGCCCACTTTCAAGGTAATACCATAATATTTTTTTATAATATTCAAGTTTGTATTCAAATATATATAGGAAATAATTATTGGACAAATCTTCGAAAATTACAAATACAAGGACAAATTCATCACTTACTGGGGGTGCTATTATCACTACCAGATGCAGATCATCATTATTTACAAATTTATTTTACGGGCAATTCAGATGCGGAAGTTATAAGCGTTGTGTTCATAATCCAACAGTGAAGAGAACCATTGTCCAAGAATTACAAATATTTCTTCATCAGAACAACAATTTAGTAAACATGTTCAAAATAGCATTGGATTGGGTGCCATCTGACAGCCATGTCATTCGAGCTGACAAAACACCTGCCGGTGAACACACAAAGAGGTTTAATTCACCCACCATTGGCGAAGTGGCTGTTGTCATTGTGGGAGAAAATTTAGAATCGAGAGATATAGTGCTTCATTGTCGGAATAATGATTTAAAACGTATATCTGAAACACACAAGATTTATGATGCGTTAAAATATCCTTAGATCTTCTGGCAGGGGGGGAGGTGGAAACCATTTTAATATCAAAATGGTAAATCAAGTAACAGGTAACTAGATTGAACAAGATTAAATAATATTTTTGATTACCGTTCATCTAAGTAACGAATTAAAAAATTATCATTTTTGATTGCAGGTGCTAAAACCAAAACCAAAACCAACAAAAAAGTTAGTGCTTTGAATTTCTATTCACACAGACTCATGATCCGTGAAGGTGAAGTAAATCATATTTTGATGTGTCCATGACTTTCTCATCAGTGTGCAGTTGACATGTATGTCAAAATTGAAACTGAACGATTGACATTCATCCGTTTGAACCAACGACAGCATCGATTAGAGAGACATTCATCCCCGCGATGCTAGAAATGCCGATGGAAATGTGAATAATGTGGGAACAATGACAATTTTGCCAGCCACTTACATTGGAAGCCCGCGCCACATGCACGAATATGCTCAGGATGCTATGTCTTATGTTAGACATTATGGCCGCCCAGATTAATTTGTGACATTTACCTGTAACCCAAAATGGTCCGAAATCAAGGGGAAATCGCTACATAGTCCAACACCAGTTGATAGATATGACATCACTACCGTTAAACTAACTAGACTTTTTAAACAAACATTAAAATCTCTTTGTCGTATCTCCTCAGTTTCAAGGCACTCCCCTTGTTGCCCGAGCCAGTATCGGAATCCTTGGCGTCGACATATCGAGTGACGTGCAGTTTCGTGGTCACCTGGAAGAGAAGGCCAAATTGGCCTCTAAAAAGCTTGGCGTGCTCAGCAGAGCGGGAAAGTATTTCATAGCGGCACACCACCTGCAACTTTACAAGGTGCAGGTTCAGCCGCACATGGAATACTATTCCCATCTCTGGGCTGGAGCTCCCCAGTACCAGATCCTTCCACTTGTTTAATCAACCTCGATTGTGCAATGGAACAAGACTGGCTGTGAAAGTGGGTGATGAATAACGTCATTGAGGCAACAATCATAAAGGGAAAATACAAAGGAGAGGATGTCTTGAACTTGCGTATACTGATGATATCAACGTATTTACCATTCGATTTTAAACGTTTACAATTTCCAGTACGTCTGGCCTTTGCGATGGCCATAAATAATTACATGACGACGACGACGAATAATTAGACAATTAAACGTCGCGTGTTCGAGCGTCGGAAAACCTTCATCTTTGTTTATTTATGCACCAAAAAACAAAACATAAAATATAGTTTATCAGAAAGCTTTAAATTGATTAACGGACTGCACCATAACTGTATGTGTGTCAATATCCAATTAAAATCTTACAAGGAATGCCACAAAACACGGTACTGAGCCACCTGCATCCATCAACTTCCCGCATGTCATACCAGGTCGTCACTCCATATAGTAGGGGGTCGCCATCAGAATAACTAATGTAGGCAAATGGTGAAAAAAAATCAATAATATCTCAAACGTTCTGTTATTTTATCTTTTAAATTAATAAATTATGTATTATTATAACTAATTTTACTGCGCATGGAAACATTCGTAAGGGTCGATCGGTAGGCAAAAACGTTGTTGAATATAAATCACATTCAATTTGCACTAATTTCAAATAATAGTAGGAGCCTTATTTACTTGTATTTTCAAAAACTACAATAATATTATAACATTATTTAACAATTTCAACTTTACTTTAAAATTCGGCTTTTTTTTTAAATAACCCTGTATAGATAGATATAAAAGAGATTGGCATGAGAAGTAAACTTAAGAGTTTTATAGGTGTATACTATTCTTTGTAAATTTACGTTGTATCAAGAGAAAACGGTTTAACAAGGGTAAATATTATCATAATAGATTGCATTAGTTTTGAACGCCAGCTTTTAAGGTCTTGCTGTTCAGGAAATACAACGCCAGTAGTGCGTTAAATCGATCATCATTAATATTTAAAGAAGTGTGTATAATGTGTGCTTATTTATGGATTTTGAGTTATTAGACCACAAAGTGTTATATGAAAAAGTAGCCTTAAAACTGAAGAATAATCAATAAGTAAGGGAGGACAAGACTGTAATTATTTCAATTTTATCGAAGTAATATATCTTACCAGTTCGAGTCAGTCATGATGTTTTTATCGTTGAAACTATAAATTCGTGGAGATCCGGACATCAGACCTCCGCTTCCGTCGAATATATCCGAAAACGATTTAAATAAAACATCGCCACGTATGTTCACAACGGGTAAATGTCGATCAGAGTAGCGCACCGTAGAATCTAGATTTTGTATCCTAAAATATATCGGTGTTATTTATAAACGTCTATAGCCTTTAAAACAATATATATTACAATTCAAAATAAAATTTTAAATGCATATTGGTATCTCCCCTATAGATTGTCTTATAAGTGGAATATTTTCCATAGTTGCAACGCGTGGCGGGCGGCTGGGCAACCGTAGTTTTTTATTATTATTATTATTGTTGTATAAAATAAAATGATCAGGAAGACGCTGCTGTCCATCTTATATTTTAAGTTTCCATATATCACTTTTAAGACATACTAGTTACTAACAGTAATAATAGGGAAAATAATGTACGGTAAATATACTACAATTTTAAAATATTTCGGGCCTTACCTACTAGTGAGCAGTGCTTTAAATGTACCCTTTAACCCAGCACGTCGAGCTTGTCTGTAACAAGCGTAATCAGCGCGGCGTACGCCATGCATATTTCCTGACAGAGGTTCATTTAGTGCAGCCAGTCGAAGCTGTAGAATAATGTGTCTGTTAATTGTGAGTGACATACAAATAGATGACTTTTGTCAATTTCTTATTACCTATACTTATAAGGATATTACAGATTGAATAAAACTATTTTGTGTCTTTTAATTTTTAATTTTTTGATTCTCAACGTCTCGGGCGAACGATTGAGGTGTATGAGTCCTAGTTAACGGAGGCTATCTTCAACTTTTAATAGATAGATGATAAAGGGAAACTGCTTAATTATCCACTAAAGTATGAGTCTTATAATGCCCCCCCCCCCTATTATAAGACTTGAAACAATATAAAGACATGAATCTGGAGCATGATATGCATTAGTAAGCAACTAATACTAATATTTAGTAAAATTTAATTGGCTATTACTATAAAAAATAAATCTATATACAAAATTTAGCTTTTAAACTTACACTGGGACCTAACGATGGAGAATTCTCTACTAGATTCGACATCTGCGGAATGTGGACTAAACTTGCTGCCGGCATTGGTGGAGTCGCCGGGGCCGGAGTTGATGTTGCTGGAGCAGATTGCGTTACCAAGGAACCTAACTGATATAAAAATTAATAATACTATAATCTAATAAGTTAATAATGTTGTATTTATGTACTAGAAATGGGTACGTTTTCTATTGCAAGAAATTGAACGTTATAATGATTCTGATAATACGACCATTTTAATACATTTTTATTAAACAATAAATAATTGAAAATGTTGTACTGATAAATAGTAAATAAGGAAATTAAATAATAGAAACTTTCACATTTTGTAATAATATTATAAAAGTTAAAATACATTTTAATTAGTCAGAAATGTATACAAGACAGCGTTAGTTGTGTAATAATTGAATAATATTTCTAGAATGTGAGTATTTATCGTCTGAACGTGTAAGATAAGATGAGGTTATCAATTTATTTTTTAAATTACTTCATTAATTATCAGTGGGATAAAGTACCTTCGAGCGATAGACATTTACGAAAACTATACATAATTTATTTATTTCAATGTTGGTGAGAATTATAAAATTAAAATATACTTACCAAAACGTATTGCCATCCAGAGTTAACTTTTACAAAAAGTGCCTGTTCTTCTATAACGTAAGCTAATGCACCAACTGGGCTATTAGATGTCAGCTAAAATGAATAAATATATTTATGATTATGATTAAATATTCTTAACAATTGATAATACGGAGCCAATACTTTTTTTTCCGGAAATCTTACCCTCATCATTTCTTCCGTAGTTTGAAATACAGCTGCACTAGGAACAGTTTTTGCAGTATTTGAATCATCTGAGTGGTGACCTCTTGATTCAGAATTAGCTAAAGCTGAGGAAAAACAGTTTATCATGTGTATTACATAAAAAGTTCGAATCTTCATATCTTCATCTCCGGAGCGATTATGTTTTCTTACGATTGGCAAGCTCATTAGCGATCAGAATGTGAGTGACCTCTAATATTATAAATATGGCATTTTTTAATAAGAATAATTTATCATTAATTGCGTGCCATATTTTGTGACATTTTTTCTAATCACCTTTTTTCTTACGCATTAAGGTGAATAAACATTGCCGCTGTATAAAAATCGAAAAGAACTGCCAGTTATTATTCCGATATGTGACAACAAAAAGGGCCACTATTTTAATATTTTTGAACATATTTACCTAACATCTTAAGCAATTTAATTGAGTTGTTTAATTGTATCATTGTATCTCCTTAAAGTAGATATTACGCAATAAAAATAAAAAATAGCGTCATTGGATATTCAAAATTCATAGTTGTTCTCAGCTTGCTTAAACTTCTCTGTTCATTTTCCGTATACTCCAATAATTATTCATGCACAATTTTCATATATAATATTTTACTTGAAGCTATTATTTTATAATAGTTTATAGGCGCAAGTACATGTAATATATAATTCTTATATTACATGAACTTGCGTCAGTCCCTCCAAGGCATTAGAATCGTTGTTTGAGAAGTAGTAGCACGAACTTAATTTATAATTTTATATTAACATAAGCGATTGTAGAAAGTCAAATTGACTAACTCTGATATACTTTCAGGGGAACTACATAATTGGCTTTTTACTGTCATGTACTCCAGAACTCTTTCACGTCCTTTTTAGCTTATAAAAGTCCATTGCTGAATATAGCCATCCCTCATAGATTTCCACACACGATTTTGCCATAGTTGCCACGCTAGGCAAACGGGTTGGCAACAACAGTTTTTTAATTATTTTACTTTGTAATCAGAAAGATGCTGCTGCTCATCTCCTATATATTTTTCTTCTTCCCTCTGTCGCTTCTTACGACACCCTCGATATGGGGTTGTTGATATTCTTACACCGACAATACACGGTACAAAAATGATAGTTTATGTCTTAATGCGAAAAGCCCCCTGAGCTTATTAAACACATTTGCTAAAGGTAAACCGCCTCTGGTACTATTATTAAATAATATTAACCGATCATCGCGACTAGACCAGATATGATAATTATATTAATAAAAAAAGAAACAGGTACACTTTTTATTTATTTAGTTTATCTAAAATTCATATTTTTTATAAGTTTTACTACTATGAAAACAAAATCATTGCTCATCTTTCATTACAAAAACAAACTATCTTTATAAGGATTTCAAGAATACCGACAGAACTCATCTCCAACACAAAGTTAGGTCAGGACCTGTCACTCCTCTTCATTTTTCCTTGGCTCATTTTTAGTGTAATGGTGGGTTGAGGTTCAGTTTGAACTTAAACTTAGTGTTGTTATTCCAATGTTGACCTTTCATGTCAACAAGTAGGTCTGATGTAAGATGATTTACGAGTAAAATGTGGATATTTTGAGCAATTATTACAACCGTATATAAGTAAATAGGGTATAAATATATCCAGAAGCCCTTAATGGTAGTATGTTTTAATAACTTTGTAAATTTGTTAGGAAATAAAATACTTACGTGGACGATCTTTGCTTTTGTCTTTTAGATCTTTGAGTTCACGTAGAGCTTTAAGCTCGTCGAATGGACTTTTTGCAACTTTTCCAGGCAGCACAAATAAAATATCAAAATTCACAATTCAAGTTAAAAAATAAGTTAACAGCCTCCTTGAATGGAAACTGATTGCTCTTATTTTTTATCAGCTTTAATACGTAAAACGTACGTATAACGTATTCAAATGGAAAAAAATACGTATTCAAATGTTATATTACAGGGAATCTTATTATAAATAGTTATACATCTACCAAAAAATGAGCGGATAGTTTTCACAGTCACAGCCTATCAAAGTTCACTTTTATATGTTTATATTCTATTCATATACCTCCCGCATAGATTCCCTCGTAGAGATTATATCTGTCATAGTTGCCACGCTTGGTAGGTTGGTGATCACTAAGCTAGGTGTTTCGTACCTTTGAAGCTGCTCTCCGTCACTGTGCTAGATATTTTAGATCTGGAAATACCGCAATCTATTTAAGGACTTGAGGTTCTCCTAGCATTTACTATAGTAAGATTTCACTATACCCATGCGAAAGATTATACACTCATCTTATCTTTTGTTAAGCTAACTCAGAGTGATGGAATAGTAGTTGAGCACTGGCTTATAATCGCAAAATAATAATATGATGATGGATTCTCTAAATCCCACAAGGCTATTAAAAAATACGACAGTTTAATTATTAATAATTATTAATAATTCTTACCTGGTCTGCCGTATAGTTTTGTACTGCCATGTGAAGGATACTCTTCGTAATAACTTATTCCTGGCTCTCCTTTAGGTCCTACAATAGATACTCCTGGTGACCCTGGAGGACCTGGAGGACCTGGAGGACCTGGCGGACCTGGGGGACCATGTACGAATTGCACAGCATCAGATCTGTGTCCAGATGGACCGGGAGGACCTGGCAGTCCTTGAGCACCCTTTTCTCCTGGTGTTCCGTCGTACCCTCGATCACCTTTTTCGCCTTTAAACTGTGGAAAATCAAGGAAAAATTAAATATATTTACATAAGGCCGCCGCTGCCGCTTACCGTGAGTTTACCTACTTCAGTTACCCTTCCTACTGGGCCAGACTAATTTTCTCGCACTGTAGGTAAATTAGGTAGCAATTCCAAAAAATATTCTAATTATTTTTAATTCAAGTACAAGTGTCACAATTACTACAAAAACGGAGTTCAATCAAGCGGTTGCTGTGGCTCGTAGACATCTACATTTAATGCAGATGCGTTATCACCCCTGATGACTAAGATGGATAGATTCTCAGCATGTAATTATTCTAATTAAAAAAATCGTTTCCATTAAAAACATAAAACATATAAAATATAATTCTAAAGTATAATACCGGTTATATACTACATAAGAGAAGTAAGTTGCAAGCATCATTATTAAATTTAAACTTGAATCTGAACATTATTATCATTAAGCGCTTGTATTTATCTATCAGAAAATAAAAGAAATTGTGAATTAATTTTATCAAATTGAAATTGTTTTTATCAAGGTATGGCTTAACTATCTCTACGTATATATACGAGATACCCGCTCGCTTCCCTGTGCGCACGATAATAAGGTTAATATAAAATATCAAAAAAATCATGTGACTATCATAAAATTCGTTCTTAGGGAGGTATACATTGCGAAATGACTGATTGTGAGTGATTGTATATTTTAGAGACACGATTACGTAAAAAATTGGCAAGACAAGTTACCTTAATCAGGTGCTAATGTAACGTAAATATTTATCCATCACGATCATTGCGAAAATTTAAAATACCTTTCAAAGATTTTTGTTTAGTTAGTTTTTTAGCCGTGGTAGCTCAGATGGTTAACGATCGTTGTAAATATAAAAGAACGCGAGTAACCCGGGTTCGATCCCCGCTGGCACCAATGAAATTGTTAATTGCAATTTTAAGTGCTGATTTACCACATGCTCGGCGGTGAAGAAAAACATCGTGAGGAAACCTGCATGTCTGAGGAATAAGAAAAACAAATATTTCGAAGACATGTGAAGTTCGCCAACATGCGTTGCGGCAGCGCGGCGGACACTTCCTTGCCCTAAAACCCTCTCAGTAATGAGGTGAGGCGTGTGCCCAGCAGTGGGGCATATATATGCTGTAACTTAGTTTTTAAGAAGTTAGAAATATCGGGAATTCAAAATATGTAAAATAAAATACAATAAAATCCGTAAAATATAGTTTTATTTAATTCAAAGGGACCTGACCGATTAATAAAGAAATACTGGCATTTAACTCACTTTCTTACAATAAATTTGTTTTGTCGAGACTATGGTCCATTGCTATATTAGGTTACGATAGGCGGCACTGTAATCAAGTGATATAGTGATATACGACAATATTATGTTGTTTTAATGCCATAATGACATGCAGAACAGCGTTTGCCGAGCTAGCTAAATAACCTAAACATTTAAAAAAAATTATAAATCAGCCTCCATTTTTTATTATTTCTTCATATATATATATATATATATACAACTATAAACAAACATTTTTGCACAGATATACCAATATATCACATTATTAATATACCTATAATAAATACATAATATTATTTTTGTTCTTATATGACATGTTCACCGTAACCTAGATTGGAGACCTTTTACACATAATAATATAACATAGCTTCTGTACGTAATTACGATACAGTAATAAAATAATAATAATATTCTCGTCAGAGTTAACGTTGTTACTAAGTCATTAATCATTATGGTAGAGACCATGTAATTTAAAACTAAAAGCTCCTTTATTGTATTGTACAAATAATAGATAAGGTTTTCACCTTCGAAAATCTTATTATTATTTTATATTAAATAAGTAATAATCTTGAAAAATCGTTTACCTTTCGTTCTTACTCTCAAGGTTTTTCGAATAATTGTTTTACAGTACATAAGCGGGAATTAACGTCGTGACAAGATGACATTTATTTTATATTACTTTAATTGTTGTTCTTGTGTAATCTGGTAATATGAATGGTAATAATAAACTATAAGAAGCCACGAATGGAAATACGTATAAACAAGAATACTAATTTTATGAAATATAATGTTTACTTTAAATACACAGTTAAAATAAGCCGATTGAATATTATATTGAATAACAAGTTATTTTATCGTTAAATAAGTTAGAATATAATATCCTCTAACTCTAGCTCATATTGTCCCGTGGGTGTCATAAAAGGCGAAATAGGGAAACAAACAAAGTTTTTGCAGAACAATGACTTGTTCACGTTGTTTCCGCCTGATATGCATTCAATCGACAGGTGTGTAACTTTTATGTAATGTTCTTGGTCGTTTGGTGACTTTTATCTGCTTGACTCCTAAACTGCTTAACCGGTTTTAATTTGCACACCGTGTGCAGTTTGGCCCAACTTGAGAGATAGGATAGTTTTTTTTAGTTTTTATGCCCATGAGTGATCCACAAATTGACAAGACAAAGGGTCGTCGAAAAGGGCAGAACAATATCTGCCTGGCAAGCCAGTATACAATTTTCTGTGGGTGAAATGGGACCAGATATATATAAAATATTGAAAAAGAGTAGTAAACAGCCTGATCAATATGAAAGACGAACGTTTTAAATAACGAAACCCGTTTCTAAAGTGTTTTATCTTTCATCCTCGGAGAACATTGTATACCTTGCTTTAGTCTGACCGCCACTTGGTTATCGAGTGCATGTAAGCAATACGAGTAGCGCGTCGTGACATTATAGACATTTAGTTAAAAGTATTGAATTAATATGTGGTATTTTTTTGTATTATTTCCATTTTTGATATATTTTTACGGTGTGAGAACATTCAATTACTGGAAAAATCGGGGTGTTAAGTATGACTCGCCAATACCTTTCTTTGGAAATAATTTTCGCCAGTTCTTTCAAAAAGCTAGTATGGCTATGTTAGCGACTGAAGTGTATAATAAATATCCGGAAGAAAAAGTGGTTGGTTTTTATAGGGGTACTAAACCAGAACTTGTAATAAGAGATCCAGCTATTGCAAAACGAATTCTTGTTAATGATTTTCAACACTTTTATGCGAGAGGTTTCAATCCACACAAGACTATAATTGAACCTTTATTAAAGAATCTTTTCTTTGCTGATGGTGATTTATGGCGTCTTATAAGACAACGGTTTTCTCCGGCATTCAGTACAGGTAAATTAAGAGCTATGTTTCCAATAATTACGGAAAGAGCAGAAAAGTTACAAATAATTACAGAGGAAGTTTCAAATCTTGATTCATATGATGTGCGTGAACTTATGGCTAGATATACTACTGACTTTATCGGGACCTGCGGTTTTGGTATAAATATGGACTCTTTGAACGACAAAAATTCTCAGTTTAGAAAATTAGGAAAAAGAATTTTCCAAAGAACGCCTAGAGATGCACTTAACGCAGCACTTAAGATTATGTTCCCAGAACTTTGTAAAAATATACAATTTCTAGCATCTGAGATAGAAAGATCTATGACTTACTTGGTACAGTCTGTAATGAAACAAAGAAATTATAGACCTTCGGGTAAAAATGACTTTATAGATCTTATGTTAGAATTAAAACAAAAAGGAAAAATTATAGGTGAATCTATTGAAAGTAAAAACTCTGATGGAACTCCAAAAACAGTGGAGATGGAATTGACAGAAATGATAATAATAGCTCAAGTCTTTGTATTCTTTGGAGCTGGTTTTGAAACATCATCGACGGCATCTAGTTACACATTACATCAATTAGCTTTTAATCCAGATTATCAGAAAAAGGTTCAAGATGAGATAGATAGGGTTTTAAGAAATCATAATAATAAGATTACTTACGAAGCAGTTAGTGAAATGCATTGCTTAGAAAAAGCGTTTTATGAAGCTATGAGAATGTATCCATCAGTTGCGTATCTTGTGAGAATGTGTACTTCACCTGAATACTCATTTCCTGAGATTGAACTTACAATTAACGAAGGTGTTAAAGTTATGATTCCAATTCAAGCTATGCAGAAAGATGATAAGTATTTTGTGAATCCGGAAAAATTCGATCCAGAAAGGTTTAAATCGGGTATAAAAGAATATAAAGACGTATTTTTTCCTTTTGGTGAAGGTCCAAGGGCTTGTGTCGGTAAGTCAAAATTAATTTTATATACTATAATTTTGGGCTGCTGAATCTAAATCAAAGTTCAGACTAAAGATGGGGAGCAGTATTATCAGTGCGAGGGTGAGTCACGAGCCAATAATTTATTGAAGTGAGCTACCAGGGCTCCATACCCTTAAAAAACACCACCATTAAAAAAAACATTACACTAGAATTTTATTCAGTACCGTTGAGGCAGTTTATAAACATATGAATTGCACAACCGGTTTTAACAATATACTGATACGACAAAATGTATTATTTTGTCTCAAATAATTATTTGTAATTACAGGTGCAAGACTGGGACAAATGCAATCGTTGGCTGCTCTAGCAGCAATTCTACAAAAATTCTCTGTAGAACCAGCAAAGTGTAGTGTAAGAAATCCTAAGCCAGAACCCACATCAATTGTTTCAGAGGGATTTGTTGACGGATTACCTCTTAAAATAAAGAAAAGGAAAATGAAGTAACATTTAGTAAAATAACTAAATTTTATATATATTATTCCCCGAAAAAAAAAGGGAACAAAACATAAAAGAAAATGCTAACTTACCATTGAAACGTCTAGAATATTCAGCCCTGGGTCACCCTTTTCTCCTTTAAGACCAACTGGTCCTGGGGCACCCGGTGGGCCCAAAGTACCTGGGCGTCCCTAAAATTTAATAAATTCTAAAGCAATGCTATTTACAAAACCTAAACTAAAATCTATTATTTATATTTTAACAATTTTTTAATTACCTTGAGGTTCTGTATTGTATGCATGAAATAAAAATACAAGTTTAATGATCGGAGATAAAGAAAAATGATCTTTTTAAATGATGAAAGCTTTATAAGATTGTTGGATTGTTAGTGTAAGCATGTTGTTTTTATAATATACTAGCTGTTACCCGGCTGCCGCAGAAAAATAATTGTGGAAATATTGTTTTAAATTTGGAAGAGCTGTATGGTTTAATTATAAATGATAATACATTAATTAAAGTTAAATGATATATAAGTAAATTTAAAATAAATTTTTTGATACGATACACACGCCACCTATTGTAAGTTACTTGTACTATGTAACCTCGCGCAAGTGCAAACAATGAGTTGACAAAGTTTTACCGCAATCTGATCAACTGTATGGCAGCGCATAAAGTATGAACAAACTAACATTATGTTTTATGTATTAGATATTTTAGACCATGATATTATTTATTGTGCACACAACTCATAATGTTTTCTCTCTTTTTATTTCCTTCTGTAGGTTGCCTTAAAGAAATTGTTGTGGAGCAATAAAGTCAGCAATTGTTTTCTCTCTGGATTTGTTTATTTTCTTGCCTTTTAAGCGCAAATAAACATTGTACTGTTTTGTATTGTATTGTAGAAAAGTAATAAATAAAAAAGATTCTACAATAAACCAGGAAAAATATTAGTGTAAAAATGGTAGGTCAGTGGTAATATTTAAATTAATATCGGTATAGTTTTCTTCTTACTAACCATCCATCCTGGTAGACCAATGTCACCCTTATCGCCAGGAAGTCCTGGTGGGCCTGGTATACCTTGAGGACCTTGAAGTCCTCTTGGTCCAGGGGCTCCGGGCCTTCCTCGTCTTCCTCGAAGGCCTGGTACACCTTTGTCACCCTATATATTAAGGTAATACATGTTAAACAAATTTTATACAATATAAATACAATATAATTAGCAACGATACAACGTTCTACTTAATATATTATCACCTTTAAATGCATTAAAAGTATTTTGTGGATTAATGTACAGTAATCTTCGTTTATGAGGAATAAGATACAATTTTAAAGGCATAGCAATTCTGTGGTTTTTCGAAGAAAGTATATTATTATTACGTATTATACATATTAACCCTTGTATTTTTATTTTCAAATAACTTTCGATACAAATATAACATAACAAAATTTTGGACTTTTCATTATTACCTAGGCCACCAAATTTATGGTTGCCTAAAATACCTTCAAAATATTTGTCACTAGCTTTCCAAATATTTGAACATTTGATAATATAAATGATATTTATTTCGATTTTCCATATATTTGTAATTTCTATATATTTGTAATATAAATAAAGATTAAGATCTCTGATACTATTTGCAATTTAAGATTAAATTTTAGCCGATGTCAATATAAAATATATATCACTATTTCCTTAATCCCGAAAGGAAAACCTTATCAGATAAGCATGCCCAAGCATGATTTCTCTATAAATTATTTTAAAACTTCTCATGCCGTTTTTTTATGAAAATAATGAACTTTAATAAGCAATAGAGTTTTATTTTTAAATTTGTGGTTATATTTAAACTCAAACCAGTTTTTAGCTTTAAGGCACATTTACCGATATAAAATTCAGTCTAAAATTCTTTCTTAATTGATGTTTTGACCCATGTGAACATTGATTTATTCACTAACACACATCGTATTTGCCTTAAAAATAAAATGCATAGTGTAACATGACTCATAGGGAGGCTGTGATGTGTTCTTTTATCGCATTGTGTTCTGTGTGTCCGATTCACACATAATATTTCTTACTTGTCATCTAAACACAGCTCAGCTCGTAATGTTTAGTTTTTTAAACATCCAAAAATTTACGGCTCACAGTGTTTTTGCATTTGTTCGCGGTGACAATGAAATGATTTTCATTGCCACCGCGTAAATAAAGTAAATACACTATTTCCGTTATATTTGAATATGCTAGAATTATGGCAGATTTTTATTCTTGCGATATTGTTTTTAACTCTTAACCTATGACCATTTAACGTATTTAAAAAATGAACCTTAATTGTAAGAATATCGGAACCAGGAGTTGTGATGCTTATAGGTCCGGGTGGTCCCCTTTCTCCCCTTTCTCCTTTAAGTCCTGGCGGGCCTGGAGGGCCAGCTACTCCCGGCATTCCTGATGGTCCAATATCGCCTCTGTCACCTGGTTTTCCATCTTTTCCAGGGAAACCCGGCGTACCATCATTACCATGGTCACCTTTTTCACCCTGTCATAGTTTAAATAGCATTTAATTAATCTACGAATTCATCATAATATATTTACATCATACTATACAAACATTTGAAATATCGAGGTTTGAGTTTTAAAACTCAATAAGTGTCAAAATCTGTTTTTTGACTTGTCTCCCTCAGCTTTATTGCTCTTTCTAATGATCTAATCCAATAATTCAAAATTTGAATTAGAACACTATGTAACAAAAACGCTTTTTACAAGGTATTAAAATAAAACATTAACAAGCATTTTACTACTTAATTTAAATAATTGTTTGTGGGCTATAATGCGTATTTTTGGCATTGATAAAATGAGAGTTTTAAAGGCAATATCATGTGTTATATATATATATATATATATATATATATATATATATATAATTTACACACAATGGACTACTGATCGTCTTAAATTTCTAGCGATCTGCCCGAGCAAAACATGTTCTATTGCTTCTTAATTTCATAACTTGCATGCTATTTCTATTATAATTTTGTCTAAAATATATTATGAGGTACCGATTTATCAACTTTTAGTGCAAATGCAATGTCAATATATTTGAAACGAGAGATCCACCCCGGATTTGCATGGGTGATTTCTGGATTCTGACAACAGCGCCACCTACCGTATCCAAATTTAAATATAAACTATCTAGGGACCTATTCAGACACACACGTTTTTTTAATGAAACTCGGTTGGATGTTTTCAAAGTCTATAACCGACACAAATAGGTAGAAACATCTTTTGTGTTTCATATAGATAGATTTAATTAAACAACGAATGCCTATTAAGATAAATGGTGTGGATATATATGTTCCTGATTTTAGTTACCATCAAGCGGGCTATTATACGGTTTGTCAATTCAATTTTATAAAAAAATAGTTTACATACAATTTACATAGAATCAAGTATATACATGATGATACTTTTGTATAGCGACAAAATTCAAGATTTTCCGTAAGGCGTTAATAGACCTGTTATAGTACCAGTTTATTGATAAATGAAATTTATGTCGGCAATTTTTCGTAATGTATCATAAAACGAAAAATGGTCGCTCTAATTATTGATGCAGTGAAAAAAGCCAGGCACTGTAAGTGATTGACTTTGAAGGAAAAAGTGATCAAATAAAAGTACTAATAACAACATGACGCTCAAACTTTAACAATTAATTGAACTAATCAGTTGTTATAGTGAGGATTTGTTAAAGACCACATCGAAACTTTTCTAGTAATACGACTTTATCGCAAAGATGCTAAAAATATCCTTGTTACATCTCTCGATTTGTAAAGAAAGAAAGTAATCTGTAGTATCATAATTTTACTACCGAAAGAATTTCTATGAAAATTGCTTATTACGATTACAAATTTTAAGATAGTTGAATATAAAAATACCATTGCAGCCTTACAGAAAAATACGGTAAAGTAGAATTTGAAGAAATTCTATAAAATGGACCAAAACATACACCAAAAGATATAAAACAGCATGATTTCGAGTTAACTCGGATGAGAAATTTATATAAATACCAATAAACATGCAAGAGATATTATAGATTCCACTTGTATGTATTTACTGTTACTTATTACATTTGAAAGTAAATTATTATAGTATAGTTTAATGATTTATGAGACATGATTATCAGGTAGCTTTTGTCTGTCTGTCTCTGATGCAGTAAAATTAATGGAAAAAGAGTATTTGTGATATAGATGCATGGCTTTATTGCTATTTTTTATATAATAAGGATGACAAACGAGCACACTTTCAACCTGATGATAAGTGGATGCTGTGGCTCATAGACATCTACATTTATCTTCGATTAAGAATCAAAATGCAGATACGTTGCCAGCCCTGAGGACTGAGATGGAATGCCTCATTTCAAGTAAAAAGGGTCTTCGGTTCTCTACACTCACCATACGAAACACAGCAGCATTAAGCTATTATTTCACGCTGGTATTCTGTGAGAGCGTGGTCCTACCCCGGTCGAACTGTTCCATTCGTGCTGCAACCACAATATAGCTGCAGCATGGCTCTACCACGTAAAGAAGTTATATTAAGTTTATTTTTTACGTGGCAGTGATACGCCTTACAGGTACACCTGTAAACTTCACTTTTATATATATTAAAACCATTGCACAAAAAGAGTATCGCGTGGCAGAGCCTCGCAAAAGCATGAATAGGTCGAATTAATCAGGGAATGACAATGCCCGTACAAAATTCGTGTGTAAAATAGCTAATAATAGCTTCACGCTGTCGTATTTCACATGAGGAGAAGCAAAAATCAAAGATACTTTCATTTCTACTTCATCTCAGTCTAAAGCGTCGGCATTTTGATTTTATTCGACAATATGTACACATTTTATAATTATATGTTAACGTTCAGACGGACAATCAATTAAGGTTATAAAATGAGCAAGTAGCACTGCACATTTGATAAACTTACTTCTATAAAAATCATATTTTAGCAAATATCGAAGCCAATATA